CAAAGTACGGCAAACCCATTCGGACAAAATACACTACACATGTATACTGTTGGGAAGAATTTAGCAGTTTTGTTATTAAAATAATGTTTCTTACGACGTAAGTTTGTATTTATAATGGTATTTGTAAAATAAAACACTATATTTTATTCATAATGTTGAACTCCTCTTTGAGCACATCCCTTGAAGGATCATAGGTATTAGCAACACCTGTGAAATAGTAGTGTGTCCCGTTTATTGAAGTATTTTGTGTTTAGAGTTTTTGACGTCTTGTCCATGCGTAGTTCAGTTACGCTCATAGCTGCTAGCCAAAACTCTGGAGTTAAAAGTTTTCTGGCTTTACTAAAATACCTTTCTGTACTTATTTGATTGATGGTAGTTTTACTTTCTATTAGACTCCATATGTAATCATTTGGCACGTTTCTAATTCATAATTTGTAAGAATGTAATCGGTGATATTAGCATTAGCACTCCTATGGGTTTTTCCATGTATATTAGCATTGCGCTAACCACTCGTTGCCAAATTGCAGTCTTTGCGATTAGAGAATCTCCTTTTGTCACATCGCAATTTAATTGCACACACAGTTAATCGTTCAGCCCTAATATACATGCAGCTCTATGCTAAAAGTGTATTTTCAAAGAGGAAATGATGGATTTCTTTGTAAAAGTTGTCCATCTTTCCAACAGAAACATTTGCCTGGACCGTGATAACAACGTAACGTGATTACGTAACTTCCGTGAAGTTCATGTTCACCCAATCAACTACTTTGACGTCATCGGCAGTCGAAAGACCCCGAGCCGATCTTGCACCCGAGCAGATCCTGTACCGACACCGTCCCAAAGCTTTTGCAACAAGTTCCTCCTCAGAGGGGAAGAAGTTGTTATCTTATGTTGAAACTTCCCAGCAGGCGTCTGACATTTAGGAAGTTGACAAATACCCCCAACTGGAATGTGACCTGATGTGACTCACGTCTGCATCAGCTGTTTTGTCTAGTCGAAGGTTTTCTTTGATATGTGTTTGGCTCACTGATTCACTACATTGTCTTGCTGTGGCTCGCACGTATTTTCCTAATCAGACACCAACCTATTAGTTTCATTATGACAGTAAAGTTGCTCGTTTGGGAATGAACTACTGGAGCTGCTGCTGCATGCCTGATCAGCTCAGCCTCATTTAGACTCACTCATGTCTGGGAGACATCGCCAAACATTTCAAGAATGACACACATGTGTTTTCTAATGAAGGAAGCCCAGAAAGCACCACTGAAGGGCTGTCTCCTAAAGCCGATGCAGCTGTGGGATCAGGACGCCGCCGCTGCAGAGCTCCTACAGGAGGGGTGGGAGCCTGATCTCTGGATGCACAGAAAAACCTGCATTTATGCTTGTAAATACACAAAACTACCAGCTTAGTTAATGACATTGCACAAACTTCAATGAAATTATGAAAATTGGAGCAGTTTAAAGTGACAATGTGTAGTTTTTGCTGTTCATTTCTGGAAAAACCCATCGAAATGTAATAATAATAATAATAATGATAATCATCATCATCGAACTTATGTAGCGCTTGTTTAGGACACTCAAAACGCTTTCACGCTCTCACATTCACACACTGTCAGTGATGGTAAGCTACGTTGTAGCCACAGCCGCCCTGGGGAGGTCTGACAGAGGCGAGGCTGCCATTTGGCGCCGTCGGCCCCTCTGACCACCACCAACACAGGCAAGTTGGGTGAAGTGTCTTGCCCAAGGACACAACAGCAGAATACCCCTGGCGGGAGCTGGAATCGAACCCATGACCCTCCGATCATGAGGCGACCCGCTCTACCACCTGAGCTACTGCTGAAGTGTTGTTGTAAATGAATTAAAAGATGCCCAGTTGTTGAAAAATATTGGCAGTTTCATAACATGTAACCATAAAAATCTGGTCTAAAATACATGGGAGCGGGTCTAAGTCTCTGGGCGACGCCATATTGGATGCCATATTTCCTTCTACAGAAGCCAGTGCCAGGGATGAAAGGGAATCTGATGTTCTTGTTATTTGCTGGAGGTTGCACTCCCAGGGATTTTTGACCCTAAGGGCCATCTGTTGATAAGGTCTAATACAAACACAAAAATAATGCTTGCTTGCAGTGATTTAGGTATGTGCTGCCCCCTATCGCCAGGGAAAATGCACACTGTCACTTTAAAGACAACAGGTCGTGGTTGCTTGGATCGTCTGTCATCTGAGGTATTTCAGGATGATATTTACAACATCAAAAAGTAATTATTTATTAGGTTTGTGCAGAAAAACAATTAAAATGGCTGAATTATCTCTTAAAGTAACTCAGATGTCCATTTCCCAAACGTAAACTAAGTTTATGTTTGTGATTTGGTGCTTTTATCCAAAGGGACACACGGAGGAGAGGCAGCAAAGCAGGTGAAGTGTCTTTTGTAGAGGGACGTGTTTTGAGCCTTGTTGTCCACTCCATGGGACAATACTAGATTATAGTTCTGGACTTAAGTTTAAACTTTAACCAGTCCGACAGGTGTGTGAATATCACTTGTAATTATTAAACAAGATTTCCTCTCAGAGGGAGCAGACGTGACCAGAGGACAAAGGTGGACGTCTCCCTTCAGAGGACCAGGCTGAGGCCTGCCGACGCCCGGCCAGAACTGCTGCACCAGAGGACATCTTAGTCAAATAATTCCCCCAACAAGATGACGCATCAGTCGTCTTCTTGTATGAAACAGAGGCTTATTTCCATGGCAACACCCTCATTCAGGAGTGCATGGAGCCTGCATGATCAGATATTACAGACAGCCAATATCAGGAGGAGCAGATGCCAGGACGTAGGTCCGGTTTTACCCCATTCGACAACGAGCTCTGCTTTAACATACGTGACATTTAAATAAGTTTAGCCTCAAATCCGTTTGCTGCTAGAATGCAGATTATCGGCGGGCGCTGCTCCGGCCGTGCGAGGATGTTCGGCCTCGCTGCAGCGCTGTCTGGTGACAAAGGGCCGGAGTCGGGTGGGGGTGGTGGGGGGAGGGGGTGCCCTCCCTGAATGGGACCAGCTAGTGACCTCAGACAGAAAGAATGTCCCCATTTGCTCAGTCGGCCCACTCCCCTAGCAGCGCTCCACACAGTCATCAGCACTGACGCCTTTGTGTGCACCTTCCAGACCCGGAGACCTCCCCGGTTCTCTGAGCGGAGCCTCCGTCCTGTCCCGTCCACCCATGTCTCTGTTGGAGCCACATCCCAGAACTGGGTTTGAACCAGAAAAATCTCTTAAATTAAAGAGGAGGGGGAGCATCCATGCTGGGAGACCAATCAAATCAGTGATGATGATTATTAAATCTGACTGATGGGGCAGCTTTAGGAGATCCGCAGGTGTCGTGCTGCTGGAGAGACGCATGAACTTCAACGGGGACGAGCTGGGGGGAGATCCAGAGATCGACCGACGGGGTTTTTCCTCTTCTGATGTGTAGATGTCATGGGCCGATATCTAGATGTTTTCTGTCATATTTACACATTAAAATTTCACTAACGACATCAGCTGATGCACGTTTCTGAACCTGAACCAGTTTTTGAACCAACTGTTGAATATTCATTTTGTGCTCAGAATTATGATTTAGAGTTGGTTAAAAACAGGAATGGAGGTCTTTAAAGTGACTTTACAGAGTTTTGAATTTTTATGCTCGTAAAGGTTTATGATGGGTCAGTCCTCCTGCATGCTCACATCATTCCCTTCCCTTGCTTGAAAAATCGTTCCAAAATGAAAGTTGAACCCACATCTTTTTTATCTGTGAATTCAATGCCGTTCGGCGAGTCTCAAATAAAAATTTGGGCATCTTACTGTAAAAAAAATATATCATTAATGTAAAAAAGAAACTCTAAATGAACTATGTTCACATCCGGATCGAACCCAGGTCTTCTGCACGAGAGTCCGACATCTTACTAGGTGAGCTAAAGCGCCAGTGACAATCACAGTATCTGTAACTTTTATATCCTTGATGACAGCTGAAACGTCAAACCAAAGAACGGTTCGGAGCGAAAATGGCTATTTTGCTGCTAATTTGCAGGAAATATCTAGAAGAAAGTTCTACAGAAAGTAGCTAAGGGTCCTCAGAAATGTAGCTAGCTTTGTCACTAGGCGTTAGGAACAGCGACAAAGTGGCACTGCCTCTCTCTCTGCTGCTAAAGCTACGGATAGCAAATGCTACGGGCGATGCCTGAGCGTGAACGCGCATGAAGCAGCCTGCTCGACCCGAGCATCTCTCTTTTTCTGTGATTTTACAGAAAAACAGGCAATCACAGTAAAAATGCCAGGGCTCATTCTACAGGACCAGGGCATTGCAGGAGAATGTATGAAGAAGACATTTATTATTTCTATACATGTTTTGCCTGTCTAACTTCCTTATAGTCCCTTCAAAGGTACGATGCAGCGTTTCTGATATGGGCCCAAAAAAATCAGCAGCACATATCGTCCATCATGACCTCTAGATATCGGTATGGGCAATAGGAAACCCCACGTCGGTTGATCTCCGATTGTTGTTGCAGCAATGCGGCAAACGTGTGACCTCCTCAGGGTTCAGCCGAGCTCCATCGTCAGAGCCGCTGCTTCAGATGCTTCCCTGCTGACCCCGCCTTAGATAGCAGGATCTGTTCTTGTTGTCATTTATACGTTATGATGTTTTCAGGTGATAAGAGACGCTCTGCATAGTTACATGAAAAGTGATCCAAACCGGTTTAAGCTGCCCTGCTGAAAGGTTCATGCCTATTATCTGAATGCTTAGTGTTTACTGTAGCAGCAGTCTGTTGGTCCCTGGATGCCTCACATCCAGTTCCTCTTATCCTGTGGTGTTTTCTGCATCGAGGAGAGAGAACGCTTTACTTTTATTGGAAAAAATCAAAGTTTTGCACTAGAAAAATAAAGTTCTGGCCTCACTGCTGATCTTAAGTATTGAATCATCATGTCTCATAGTTGGAAGCACATTTCTAATTTCCTCACGCGTGTTCTTTTCTCCAGGGAGAAGGCTTCGAGGGAAAGCCTTCTACAACGTCAACGGAAAGGTCTACTGTGAGGAAGACTTCCTGGTAAGTCCACCGCACCTTCACAAATGGACCTCCGCCTCTTGGAGGGCTGATGGAGGCTGCAGGTAGAGCGGAGAAGCTCAGATTAGGACTTTGACATCATTAGAAGCTGAGTACCATCCCCCGTAATTCAGACTAATTTCCCAGGGGAGCTCCTTCCCATCCTTACTGTTTAGTTTGGACACGCAGGAGGTGGCTGTCTACTTCTGGATGGACACGCTCTCCTTTACACGTAGAAGCTGGCGAGATAAAAAGTCTGTGAATCTGCCGGTTATTGCTTTACTCCAGAGGATTGTGTCCAAACGGAGGAAGGAGATCTAACTGGTTCCTCTAAACGGTTTGAACTCTTAATGCTCCATCTCATCTGCTGACTACACTTCCTGTTTATGAGCAGCTTCCTCTCAGAGCTGTTAGGAAACACTCAGGTTCCTGTTTTTTGCCTCTGACACTTGGAGGTGGGGGGCTGACCTGACGGGATGAGATTAATCTCATCGTCTTCAGGCTGAGACCCAGCTAGTCTGCCCCGTCACCCTTTAGGGGGATGGAGGAGTCAGAGGGGGAGGTGGCAGCAGATGGTAGATCTGGAGCGGTGTCATGAGGGCTGCCCCCCACCTCCACCTGGTAGCTGCGTCTCCTCCCTCCACCAGGCCCCTCTGTGTCATCAGGTCATGACCCCGAGGGGGTGGCTCACCACAGATGGTCACCTTTACCCCGAGTTCTGGTTTAAAGGGAACCTGATGGTTCCAGTTCCTCTGCTGGTGGTAATCGAAGGGTTTTTCAATAAGAACTTAATTGGGTCATCCACCGCTGCATGAGTTTTGTGTTTTCGGCCATCTTGAATTCTGTTGACTTAAAAGGATAAATAGTTGCTTTCTGAGAGCTTCATGAAAATCTGTGCAGTGGTTCATGAGGTCTTTCACTAACAAACTTGGTCCAGCCTAAAAGTTAAACATCTCATTTGTTTTTTCATCAAATCTCCAGTGGTCTCTGGTGTGCACGAACGAACGAACGAACGAATGTGAGTCATTTCTTGTAGAAAAAAAGCTCCCGTTTCAGAAAGTAGAAATTAGTCAGAGGAGCGAGGGGCAGAAAAAGACTTACTTATTAATATTCGTAATATTCAAACATCTTGCCTCTGATTGGCTTACAGCAATGCAACTCTTCCGCTGCCTTCGTTCGCTCTTTGATGGTTAATAAGTTTAATGTTGATGTTTAATCTCCACAAACGGCCCAAGCCTAAATGTTGTGTCGTTGCTAATGCTAACAGTTAGCTGCTATTAGCCGATACGCGCCCTGCTCTCTCCTTCCCGTGGGCAATCCCAAGCCAAGGTGGGCGGGACCATTAATGCTTTTTCTGACCCGATCGCTTTCCTTGTCTGTTTCCTGTCTGTGGCTAATGCAGGTGATGGGGCCTGCACGTGAAACTGAGAGTGACTGATAGTGCCTCAAAAAGAACAAGCATTACACGGTTTCTATGGTAACGAGAACTTCAAGGCTAACATTTGGAGTCTGTTGAGACCAACTCTGATCAGTTAGAGCTCGGCATGTTTGATGTGACTGAGTGAAGTTACCTCCACACCAAACTTTAGCGGTGGCAGCCATTTTGGATGGTCCACTCTCCGAAAGCGAATCAGCTGTAGATGAGCATCCATTTCAAACTTTCTGAGAAACTTGTCCCGCTGCTCATGAGATATTTTGCTAACAGACGAACACAAGTACTCTCACTACGGTCCATTTAGCTTTTTTTAGTATTGGTATTAAAATAAGTCTCCTCCAGATGTTCACGTCCACCGCAGCTGATTCTACAAAGACTAAAATCTTCCAAAAGTTCTCTTTGAGCTAAATAAATCTCATCATCTCACCCGCAGTACTCTGGTTTCCAGCAGACAGCAGAGAAGTGCTTCGTGTGTGGTCACCTCATCATGGAGATGGTAAGATCCGCCATACTTCTGGTTCCGCCCATTTTCTCAGTGACACCTTCTCATACCTTGTTTCTTCAGATCCTCCAGGCACTTGGAAAGTCCTACCACCCCGGCTGTTTCCGCTGCGTTGTGTGTAAAGAGGGTTTAGATGGAGTGCCTTTCACTGTGGACCTAGAAAACAACATCTACTGTGTCAAAGACTACCACACGTAAGGAAAAGCTCGCTGCTGAGCGGCAGGAATGTCCCCAGGAAATGTTGTAATGTTTTGTTTTTCCTGCTTTTGTCTTTGTTAGAGTTTTTGCTCCCAAGTGTGCCTCGTGCAACCAACCCATCCTTCCAGCACAGGTAAACAATCAAACGTCTCAGATTATAAAAATACATTTGAAAGTGTTTTCAATCCATAAATGTTGAGCCACGTTAACGAGAAATCTATCTCAACAACACCTCTAATCACTTTCCTCCTAATAGCAGAAGTTTGATTTTAGCAGCCAAAGGAAGGAGATTTGCTCTTACTTGGTTCGCGGTCCAACGGTGCCTGGAAAAGTTTTTATTTAGTCTGTTTAAGAAAACTTGTCCAAATACAGAATTTTAGAAACCTGAGTTGCGATTTGGGATTGTTGATTGCTGGTGATGTAATCAGATTATTCATTTTTTATGAGCAGGTCTGGGATTATTCTAAATTACCATTTTTATCCTTTAATCTAAGATTATCAGATTAGATCATTTCCAAATCATTTAAAGAAAAAAAGTCGAAACAGTTCCTGGATTTGTTTTCTGTAAAGGGTTTAATCCAAACCTAATCTGCAGGAGAAGACAGGAGATTAAATTATAAAGGCCTTTGGGGGGGCACTTTGTAGGATGTTTTTGTCTAGTCAGCTACATGAACAGCCTTTGTTCAGAGAAATAGAGTTTATGTGCTTCAGGGCTGATGAGCTAATGGCTAATCCGAGTCTAGATAAGACTGTTCCTGCTATTTTAATTCATTCGCTGCCAGCGTTTCTCACCGTTCTTACAGTTTTTTTAAGAGTGACAGAACGTTGCGCGCTAGGATGATGTCGACGCCAAAACAACCAAAACAAAGAGGAGACTCACCTCTTACATCAGGAAGAATCTGCGCATTTCAAGAGCTATCCGTTCTTTCATAATCCGTTGTTGAATTGTGATCGGCAGAAGCTTTTCCGGTTTGCCCCTCACTTTTTTTTACAGCAGCGGCCCAAAACGATCTCCTAACACATGGAAGTTCTGCTTCCTGATCACGTGACGTGTGACGTACGTGGATGAAGATCGGCTTTAGAGCTGAGATGCTTGTTCTCATGGTGCGGGGGCTCGTCCGACGCCCACACAGTAAAAACATGCAAATGAACGACTTTAGTCGTCATTGGTAGTGAATGAGTTAGAAACCTTCACATGACCTTCAGTTTAAAATTAAATTTTAATTCACAGGGAATTCTGTGTTTTTAGCGTCAGCAGTAGCCAATGTATCACTCCCGGTGCATCCAGAAAATGTAAATGCCGACTTTAGTCGTCAATGGCAGTGAATTGAGTTAATAAAGGTATAATTTGATTATTAATGCTTAATAATGCACTAACGTTGACTCGTTCACTGCCAATGATGACTAAAGTCTTCATTTGCATTTTTTTTACTGTGTGAGCATCGGAACGAGCCCCCGCACCGTGAGAACAAACATCTCAGCTCTAAAGCCGATCTTCATCCACGTACGTCACACGTCACGTGATCAGGAAGCAGAACATCCATGTGTTAGGAGATCGTTTTGGGCCGCTGCTGTAAAAAAAGTGAGGCGCGAACCGGAAAAGCTTCTGCCGATCACAATTCAACAACGGATTATGAAAGAACGGATAACGCTCGAAACACGTGGATTCTTCCTGATGTAAGAGGTGAGTCTCCGCTTTGTTTTAGTTGTTTTTTTGGCGTTGACATCATCCTAGCGCGCAACGTTCTGTCACTCACAAAAAACAGTAAAAACTGTGAGAAACGCTGGCAGCGAATGAGTTAAAAAAGCAGGAACAGTCTTAGATGATGTCACAATGTCATTGTGAGCCTGTGGGTGTGTGACAAGCTGCCATTTTCGGATCTATTGGGAAAAAAAACGAGTGAATGAGAGCTTAAAGAAGGTTCTTCAACTAAATTTGTTCAAGGCCGGAGTTTTTTCCAGCAGACACCGAGAGGGCCACATGCTCCTCTAAAATAAAGTTCAAGTATTATAGTATCTTAATTTAAAATATTTAAAATGGCTTTGTTTGTCATCTAAACTGGTTTTATTGTAGTTTTAGTTGTGTTTGATATATGTAAACCATTATTGATGTTTGGGACAATGAATTTTACTGCTAAACCTGGGAGTTGTTTGGTTCCGAAGGGTTGGGGGTCCGGGTGGAAAGGTCTGGCAGGCCAGATGTGGCCCACGGATCATCAGTTCAGGTTCACTGCCTTAGCATCTAGATGGAACATCAGGATTAGTATTTTTTTATATGTTCATTCTGTGTGTATTTTCATAATCCATTACTTTGTTCTTGTTTTACACAGCTGTGAACTCTAGCCGTCATCAGAATTTGCCGGCGGCGTCGCCCTCCACATGAAAAATAACCAGGCAGACGGACGCAACCCTAAAAACAAACACATACAGGAAACCAACACATGTGTATTATGGACATCGGAACATCCCACGATACATAAGATGTCAGTTATCAGAATGTTATACCACAGAGCAAATGTAATAACAGAAGAACGAGACCGTAACTAGTGGATAGACACGTACAAATTGCATAAAAAACCGGCGGATACCCAACACAGGCAATATGAAAACAACAGACCACGACGAAAAAAAAGAAAAACAAACCAAAAAAAAAAAGAACCAGAAACACAGAAAGACCAGAACCAAAACCAGTAATAACCCTTCCATATATCAAAGGCATAACGGAAAGAATAATAACAACAGTGTAAAAAACATAAAATCAACACACCAACAAAAAACCATACGTGATGGTCAGAAAAAGATTAGTACACCCAAAGGACAAGATACCAGCAGACAGAAGCGGTTTTACCATTAGGCATAGGTCGGCGGCCGCCTGGGGCCCCCAACATCAGGGGGCCCCCTCGCCCTGACTGCCGGCACCCTTCTGTTAATCCCACATTGGACTATTCCTTTAAGACGCCGATGCACAAACAGGAAGTGATTGGTAGTCATTCCACTCCAATCCAGTTGGTGGCAGTAATGCACCAAATTGTTGTTTGCCAAGTGCCATAAGACCACAAAGAAGAAGAAGAAGAAAAAGCAGAAGAAGAAGAGAGGCGGGAGCATTCGTAACAAACTCGAAGCGGTAGTCAAAACATTAAGCATGAGATGGAGTTATCCTAGTGGCTCCAATAAGAGAAAGAAGCAGCATGCTTTAAAAAAAGCTTTTATCTTCACTTCAAAAGTGACGTCGTTTTTCAACATAAACATCAAAAGGAAGCAGAAAAGGAAAGACAATGGAAAACGTTTAAAGGGAGGAAAACATAGACCAAAATGGAAAATAGAAAAAAAATAAAGAAAGGCAGAAGCACAGGAGCACTCAAAGGGAGAAAAGACATGAAAAAAGAGGAGGACTAATAAAAAGTGAAAATAACTCGTGTCAGAAGAGGGGAGAGTTTCGCAAATCCAGTTAAAGATAAGATTGTCGAAAATTTAGTGTAAGGGGCCCCATGTCTGTGTTCGCCTTGGGCCCCCAAATTGCCAAATCCGCCACTGCCAGCAGATGTGGAGTCATATAGAAATCCCATGCAAACTCTGCAATACATGGGGGAACTGGACGCCGACTCAACACACGGACAATAGAACATCAAAGAGCGTGAGAAGGAAACAAGTCGAGCACACAAGAGCAGCAAAACAAGGAGCAGAAAGTACAATAAAAAAATCAGCCGTAACTAGAGCTGACGATAATCAATTCATCGTGCGATAGATGAAAATGAACTCAATAAAATTTCCAGCCTCGATATATCGGTCCTTGTCAGACACGTGATCTGCATGTCAACCACACCCCCTGACCGCCATTTTAGGTGTATGACTCGCATTGCTAGTGGAAGCCGCAGCTGAAGTTGAAGCAGAACAAGAGTCAAAAAGATGGATAAAAAGAACAAGGAGTAAAACTGTGAAGGAGGATAGAGATTGGTATTTTCAGAGATTGTCTAACGAAGATCTCTACAACCTCAAAGGAAACAAACAACGCTCCGATGTTTCATTACAGCTGAAACATATCACTTGAGTTGCATTTTTGTGATATATAACATTACATAAGTGGTTATTTTGGGCTCAATAAGGTCGACAATAATGTCGTTTATCACCAATAATTTGTTGGACAATGTATCGTCCATCAAAATTTGTTATCGTCCCAGGCCTAGCTGTAACAGACCTCTGCACATGAGAAAACCCGTTAATGGACTGGGACAGCACACGGATCATAACACAGAACAACAAAAATACAGAAGATGGATTAAGGAAGCGACAGAAATACGGAGACGTGGACACAAACCCACGAGCAGAGATGATGGAGTGTCACCGTCGGATCACACGCGGGACAGTGTCATCAGCAAGGCAGTAGAGGGCGACACCGTCCTCTGCTGCTCGCGGATAAGCAGAAGCGACGCCGCCAACACCGGCGATCTCTGATGACGGCTAGAGTTAAGAGCCAAAACATGTAAAGTACAATATTTTTACTAAGCTGTGTTAAAAAAAAAGAACAAAGATGGAGATCATCAGGATTAGTACTTTCATCACAACCCTGTCATATCCAGTCTACTGCCCCCTGGTGGAGGATCTGCAGGTGGAAAGGGCCCGTTTTATTTATTTTTGTTATATTTTTCTAGAAATAAATGATAAAATAAACATTTACTTTTTGTTCTGACAGGGCTCTGAAGAGACTATCAGGGTTGTCTCTATGGACAAAGACTACCATGTGGAGTGCTACCACTGTGAGGTGAGGCGCCCCCTGCAGCGAGCACTGTGTCCTCACACACACACACACACACACACACACACACACACACACACACACACACACACACACACACACACACACACACACACACACGTTTGAGATGGGCATCGAGGTTAAAGCTCGACTCCATGACTCATTGACAAAAAGCAAAATTCCAGCACTCTGATCTCAGCTTGGGGGTGATGGTACTCTCATCCACCTCATTGCTTTCTCGCAGATGATTCATAATCCAGGAATGACAAAAACCAAATTATTCATCAAATCTGTGAGACCTTTTGCTCTTTTCGCTGTGAATGTTTCTGAATGACTGACGTTCTTCTTCCTAGATGTTGATTCGGTCGTTATGTAAGAAGCAGGTAATCATTCAACAGACCAGCTGCAGGCTGAGGCTGAAGTCTGCAGCCGCATCCCTCTGCAGGTCCTTAAATACAGAAACAAAACGATCTGTATCCAGTAACACACCCGGAGCCTTTGCTGTTGGTAACATAGATGGGATCTTGAAAGTGAGACCCATTCATACTTAGTTTGTGAATCGTTAGTGGTCAGCAGGTTTGTGTAAAGCTTCTGGGTTTGTCTTTACTGTCTGCAGCGGAGCTGAGAGGTGAAGTTTGCTCAGAGGATTCACCTCCAAGCTCTCAGGATTAACTCGCTCTCCGACGAGCGTCGTAAATATTACTGAAACGCACTCGTCACTGAAAAGCTCAACAAATTCGGAAGAATATGCACGTTTAAAATAATTCAATATTAATACATTTCTTTGTTATCCTCTTATTATATACATTTACAGTGTTTTATAGTCCTCATCGCACAACTACTGGATCTGGTCCGAGCCGGACCTGGTCTGAGCCGGAGCTGGATCTGGTCCGCGTCGTGGCTGGATCTGGTCGGATCTGGATCTGGCCTGAGCTGGACCTGGTCTGAGTCTGATCTGGATCTGGTCTGAGCCAGATCTGGATCTGGTCTGAGCCGGACCTGGTCGGATCTGGATCTGGTCTGAGCTGGGCCTGGTCTGAGCCGGAGCTGGATCTGGTCTGAGCCGGACCTGGTCGGATCTGGATCTGGTCTGAGCTGGGCCTGGTCTGAGCCGGAGCTGGATCTGGTCTGAGCCGGAGCTGGATCTGGTCCGAGCCGGAGCTGGATCTGGTCCAAGTCTGATCTGAATCTGGTCTGAGCCATGGCTGGATCTGGTCTGAGCTGGATCTGGTCCGAGCTGGACCTGGTCGGATCTGGATATGGTCTGAGCTGGACCTGGTCTGAGTCTGATCTGGATCTGGTCTGAGCTGGGCCTGGTCCAAGCCAGACCTGGTCGGAGCTGGATCTGGTCTGAGTCTGATCTGAATCTGGTCTGAGCCGTGGCTGGATCTGGTCTGATCTGGATCTGGTCCGAGCCGGAGCTGGATCTGGTCCGAGCCGGACCTGGTTCTGGTCCGGTTAGCCTAGGGGAGCTCAGACATCCGGTCCAGGCTGACTGTGTTTGTGTCGTGTCTCCGTCAGGACTGCGGTCTCCAGCTGAACGATGAGGAAGGACATCGCTGCTACCCGCTGGAAGGACACCTCCTGTGCCACAGCTGCCACATCCACCGGCTGCAGTCCAAGGCGCCGCCACACCCGCCATCCAGCTACCCTCTGCATGTGACGGAACTGTGAGAGAGGAGGCTGAGCTCCACCTGCCAGGTTATCCAGAACACCAGCAGTGAGCACAATGCGCCCCCCCCCCCCCCAGCTGGACCGTGAGGACACCAGGCCCTGCTCTCCCGGCACTTCTTCCCCCGTTTCCTGTTCTGGTGCCTGACACTGAAACCAGTAACATCAGAGCCACCTCCTGACCTCAGGCCCACCAAACAGAGGGTTTCCGGGTTTGGACTTCTTTCTCTGTCTTTATTCCTGCGCTCCGACTGAAGCGGATTGCAGCGGCTGGGAATGCTGTCGTCGCTGGCGCTCCGTTGCTGGACTGGACCAGGCCGGGCAGTGCCTTCGGAGTGGGCCCCCGTGCAGCTTCACACACTGAAGCAGACTGCTAAAGGCTATGCAAAAGGGCCCCAGAGTCACAACACCGGCACCAACAGCTGCACCACGAGCCCAGTGGACTGACTGACCGACATTCCACTTAGGACGTCCGAGGACCGCTCCTCGAGAGATTCACAAGCAGTGTCTTAATTAATGAATATATTATAAACAGAAATAAAACTTTAGATGCACATAGGTCGTCTTTTATATATAAATATATATTTCGCAGAAGTTTTCCACATATGAGCCTCGATGTAGATTGTATTTTTTATTATTTTTACATATCTGTGCTTGTTTTGGAGTCTGGAACACAGTCGGAAGCCTCAAAACTTGTTTTGGCTTCCAGGATCTGTCGCATCGTTTTCCTGCAAGATGCCGAGTCTGTTCCCGTCTGTCCCCCGAGCTTTGTGGATTCTAGCTTTAGCATGCAGTTTGTTTTATTTTTGGTTTCAGAGTAAATCAGTGACTTTTAAAACACAAAGGACACATTTTAACCTGATTTAAAGGGATAAACCTCAGTTTGGGGAAGTGGATTATTTCTGACCAGGACCTCATTATTTTATATCAAATTCATTATAAAGTTTAAATTATTCGCTATAAATAATCATACATGGTACAAATAAAAGGACAAAGTCTAGTTAAAAGAAAGAAAATGACTTATTTAGTCAAAAACAAATAAACAAAAATGCATTTGGGGGGTGGGGGGGTCATGCATTTGAATTGGAAAACTTAATTAATTTTGAATATTTAATTAGTATTGTAGTCAAACCCATCCGAAGCAGACGAGCGAAGGACAAAACCTTTTTTTTTTTTACTAAACTGTAAAAAAAAGAACAAAGTAATGGAGCTAAGGAGCAGCTGCTACAAGACCAAAGTGAATTATGAATACAAACTCTGGTCATGCGCTTTTCCACAGCTGCGTGGAGGTGTACAAGGCTTTAGCATTAGCATGAATCGATCTCTTAAATTGGAATTGTTTTGAGACCGTTTGGTTAGAAATATCCTCCACTTCTCCAAACTACAACTGCTGGGACACTTCAGTTACACCTAGACGGTTCCTTTAAAGACCAAGTCACCCCCAAATCAACATCTTTCCTGATAAACTATATAAATGTGTGTCTAATCGTGCTGCAGACACGTGTAGTCAATAGTTTTGCACTTTAGTGCGTTTTAGTAAAAGTGTAAATTTTCTGACTAAAACTGGCAGTGTTGTGCCGTTGTCAGGTAAAAACTCTGCACTGCATTTGAATTTAAATCCGCCATCGCTATTGGCTAAGAGGTACCCTCGAACGTTAGCTGGTACCGTATGATGTCACAATGTCGTTGTGAGCCTGTGTGTGTGTGAATTTGTTAGCGGCTCCGCCCTCTCGGTCTGCTAGGCAACAGCATTTGTTGCATTTTTCAAACAGGAAGTGGGAGCGGAGTAATACTCTGGTAGGGGGTGACTTGCTCTTTAAGAAACCGACGCATGAAGAATCTACCTGGCAGTTCAGGTGCTTAAAGAAGAATAAAACAAACTGCATTTAACTGAGTTCCTCACTTCCCACCAACCAAACCGAACCGGTGGTCTGCAGTGTGTGTGTGTGTGTGTGGGGGGGGGGGGGTCGTACCTGAAATCATGGAGCTGCTGGTCTCACCTTTGTGTATTCAGAGAGCCCCCCCTCATCCTTGCTGGTTTGTTTGTGTAAATATTCAAAAGACCTAAATGAGACAAAAACAACACGTGAAAGGTCACTCCTGTATGGATCTTCTGCACGACCAGGTCTCACTGGGACGTCTTTGAACAACAGATTTCATCTCAGAATCGTCCCAGACTTGTCTGAAATCAGTTTCCCATTTAGCACCAATGTGAAAACAGGATATTATAGAAGAAAATGTCCTCTTTAGGGGACACGGGGTCCCAGCATGATGAAACCTTAGGTTTTATGTGTCCTCTGCCTCTGATTGGATACTGATGCAACTTAAAGCTGCGTGTCTAAAACAAATTAGGACACAAAGATATTTATTAATTATTGGTGGTTTTTAGTGTCGCCCACTAACTGATGACTATAAATTTAGACCCACTGAAGACCAATAACATTGAATAAACATCAATAATAAAGACACTCGCTCACGTTTTACAGTTTAGTGCCAATTTTCTCTCTGCCAACAGCCGTGGTCCAGTGACACTCTGGATTCATGCAGACTTATCCAGCACATTTTGTAATGTGTGTGTGTGTGTGTTCGTGGCAGGGCCGTGACACACACGCACACCTGGGTGCGTTTGCAGGGCGACCAGCAGGATTACTTCCTGTTCTGATGCTGCAGACGCCGTTCGGTCCTGATCTGTTCTCTGATGCTGTAAAAATCACCGTTCTGAGTAAAAACTACTGAATGTGTTGAAAACAGGCCGATGTGACATGAATGTAATGTTTAGAGGAAAACGACTGCGTCTGATACATTCCTGTTGTCTTTGATGTCACTTGTGCGCCGTTCTTGAAGAACGAGGCACTCTTTAAAGTCATCTGCACGGATCGTCGTCACCCACAACAAACCTGCTTAAGGACGACTCTTAATTTTCTACTTTTCTAAAACTTTGCATAACGAGGCAGTTTTTATAAATCTGATTCTGTTTTCTGTCAGAATTCACTTTGAGCAAAAGCACGTCTTCGTTAGCTCCGTCAAGCACACCTTTTGTTTTGTTTTGATTACCTAGATGGATCATTTTTTTAAAAAGGAAACTAGATTTATTTATCTAAACATGAAAAAAGTCTAAATTTATTTAATGTATTAAAATCGGGATGTATCATTTAACTGTAGATGATGTAGTCTACTCTTTTCAATAAAGTGGTTTTGTAGCTAACTGCACAAGGCGTCAGCTTTTCCCTTTGGGAATTCATTTACCAAGGTGTGATGACCTTTGACCCCTCTGATATTTGACCTCCACCCAAGTGCGTACTTTACCTGACGCTTTGGCATTCAGCCTGAGTGAAAGCACATAAAATGGCCGATATTATTCGATCTTACATTGTTAGACGTGAGGAGGTCATGATGCAGGAATTCAACCGCAGGTTCAGAAACCAAACTGTTCCACCAGGAATCCATTTAGCTGTTGGTTTTGAGCCACTTTAAGCTGCAATGAGGTAAAAACACAAAGTAACCTTAGAGGTGCAATAGCCTTAGTGTCATTGAAAATGGACCAGGAGGTCATTTGGCCCTTTTTTTGTTTACTTTTGTCCATGCACACACTCTGAATCTAACCGCAGGTAGACTAAGGACCCCCCGTGGTGTGGTACTGTAAACACAAATGCTCTCACCAGCAATATAAAAATAAAAGTTAAACTGATCAGGGGTTTCTTGAGCTTTTCCAATTAAATAAATACAATTCCCCCCAAAAGACAAGCAACCAAACCAGGGGCGTAGATTTGGCATGGACAGAGGTGACGTGTCCCCACCAGTATCCGGCGATGACCAAATAGTCCCCACCAATAATTTGACCGCCAACGTTAAAAACCAACAAGCCAATCAATATCTCGTTACCCTAGAGGTGCGTAAAGAGTTAAAGTACCTACCTCTGTAACGTATATGGCCACTATGAGATGTAGATTTATAAGTCCCCATCAATGTCGAGAGCAAATGTACGCCAATGAACCAAACAACAATAAAAAGATGCAAAGATCTAAATGTATCCACAAAACAACCTGATGTGTTGCAGTTCGTTTTGGTTTTGCCCTCTGGTTTCCAGTAAATCGAGCACATCTTCTTCCAGTCTTCAGCTCACCTGTCTTTTGTCCCACAAGGTTCTGTGCTGGGGCCTCTGCTCTTCCTCCTCTATCTGCTTCCTCTTCAGCACATCCTGAGCTCCTTTAAAGGAATCTCCTACCAACAGTAAACCTTCTGATTAGGGGGTGAGCACTCAACTCCTGTTCCACCATCGCCATGGGACGCTGGTATTTGAAAATCCTCACAGATTTAATGTAAGTCACGCTGCAAATTAAGCTTGGTTTATGCTCGGCGCATTTACTTTCCGCTTGGTGATGCGGCTCGTGGATGGAACGCGCTTCACAACTTGCAGCGTAAAAGCTTGGTTCATGCTTGACGCATCCGCGAGGTCCGCACAGCTCCGCGCAGCAAAATTGCATCATTTTAACAACCACGCCTCTCCAATGCGTCTCCGCACGGACCAAACTTTCCACACCGCGCACCTAGGAAAATTTCTAACCACGCGGATGGTCGGACGCGGAAAAACATGGCGGACTGGCAAGAACTAGTATGGCAGAGGTTCGTAAATACAGACATTTGTATGATTCAGCTCTCAGAGATCACCGTGATCAACATGTTGTTAATAATTCTTGGAGAGAAATAGCTCGCACTGTCGGAAAAGACGAGGACGCTGTTAAAAAATGCTGGAATGCCATGTTGTAAACAACAGTAATTTCTACTTCTACTATGTTGTAGTGCTGGATGCATGCCGTAGAGCTCCATGCTGCCCCCTACAGAGACAAGCTGCATGAACCATAAACGCTGCGAGTTGTGAAGCGCGTTCCATCCGCTGAATTATACAAATGTCTGTATTTATGAACCTCTGCCATAACTAGTTCTTGCCAGTCCGCCATGTTTTTCTGTGTTCGACCGTCCACGTGGTTAGAAAATTTCCTAGGTGCGCGATGCGGAAAGTTTGGGCCATGCAGAGGCGCGGTGGAGGGGCGTGGTTGTTAAGAGGACGCAAGTTTGCCGCACGGAGCCGTGCGAACCTCGCGGACGCGTCGAGCATAAACCAAACTTAAGCATCCATGGACTCACCCATCTTGACTCACAACAGGGAAGGATGTTGTTTTAATGTCCAGGAAACGGTAGAGGATGTCTCGCATAGTTTAAGCTAACTGTTAGCATGAACAGCTTTCCCTAACTGCTGAAATCTCATAGGCCTGTGTTTTTTGTGGAGATAAAAAAATCAATATTGCAAGTCAGTGGTAGAGTGGCATTGCTGTTATCCAATCCAACTTTCAGCAAATAAGACTCCATCTCAGCTGTGATGTCACAGACATGGCCTGCTGAGCCAGGGGTTTGTAGCCTTTTCTGAGCCCCGAGTTGTGCTTGCAAGGCATTCATTTTTTCTATAGACCATTGCAAATGTATAGAATAAACTGGTAATCCACACCTTTAAAAGCAAACCAGTTTATGAGCTTATTTTTAGCAAAAATCTTGTGCATAGTGCTGAAATCCTAACCACCAAATTTCAGCTCCACATCTGTGAAACTGAGTGAGTTTGAGCCATCACTCTGCTGCTGCTGAAGAAAGGAGGTGGCCATCTTAGATTGGATTCAAACCCTTTCCTTGTTTTGAGGCGACACGACAGCTTTAACCTGCTGAGGTTTTGCTCCAGTACAGCAGCAGCAAACAGTGCAACAATTCGCTTTTGTCTCACGTGAAGCCGGTCTACCCTCAACACAGAGACAGTTTGTTTTCTGTTGCATCTTTCATGTTCAGAGCTTAATTATGATGATGTCTGTTTTTGAACAAAACAAATAAAAGTCACAATATATTAATGTTTCAATTTTTTTAAACAATAAAATCCAAGTTTTGTGGCCCACAAGGACTTTTAACTTGCCGATTTCATCCCTCGTCTTGAAAAGTTTGGACACCACCTGGGTTAAAGTGTTTATAATCCAGATTATTAGAGAAGAGGACATGTTTTATGCCGGCGAGAACAGTGGTTTTCAGTGTGAGGAGCTTGTCGGTGTTGGTTGACAGCTCTATGAGTCGCTACACAAAGCAGCCTTTATGTAAGTGAGGGTTCCACCCTGTGACTCAGTGTGTGTGTGTGTGTGTGTGTGTGTGTGTGTGTGTGTGTGTGTGTGTGTGTGTGTGTGTGTGTGTGTGTGTGTGTGTGTGTGTGTGTGTGTGTGTGTGTCTGAGCAGAGGTCCCTGGAGGATCTGCTGTGAGGTGAGCTCTGTTACTCGCCACAAAAGAGACCAAGAACACCTACACTCCAGAGCGCGCAGACAGGAAATGAGTGAGAATGAGTTTTCACTGCAGGATCAAATCGATCAATCAGCCCAAGTTTATTCATAAAAGCACTTTTCATACATGAGAGTTAAACACAAAGTGCTTTTAATAAAATGTTTGAGCAGTAAGTCGTCAAAGACTGAAATTGAATAGTTTAATTCATGCAGAAAAATCTAATTATTGACCAAGTTCAAGCTTCAGAATAGAGAATCCATCCATCCGTTTTCTTCTGCTTATCCGGAGTCGGGTCGCGGGGGCAGTAGCATAAGGCGAGAAACCCAGACTTCCCTCCCCCTGCCACTTGGGCCAGCTCCTCCGGGGGAATTCCAAGGTGTTCCCTGGCCAGGTGAGAGACGTAGTCCCTCCACCGTGTCCTGGGTCTACCTTTAGGTCTCCTCCCGGTTGGACGTGCCCAGAAAACCTCACCAGGGAGGCGTCCAGGAGGCATCCTGACCAGATGGCTGAGCCACCTCAACTGGCTCCTCTCAATGTGGAGGAGCAGCAGGTCTACTCCGAGCCCCTCCTGAATGATCGAGCTTCTCACCCTATCTCTAAGGGAGATCCCAGACACCCTGCGGAGAAAACACATTTCAGCCGCTTGTATCCGTGATCTCGTTCTTTTGGTCACTACCCAAAGCTCATGACCATAGGTGAGGGTAGGAACATAGTTCGACTGGTAAATTGAGAGCTTTTCCTTCTGGTTCAGCTCTCTCTTCACCACGACAGATCGGTACAATGTCCACATCACTGCAGATGCAGCACCAATCCGCCTATTGATCTCACGCTCCATCTTTCCCTCACTCGTGAACAAGACCCCAAGATATTAAACTCCTCCACCTGGGTCAGAACCTCATCCCTGACCTGCAGAAAGCATTCTACTTATTTCAATTAAATTCAACATTTCTGTAGTTTAAAATACTTTAAATAGGCCCCGACCACCTGTAGGTCCTCCACCAGGGGCCAGCAGACATGTGTAGAACTGGATATGGCAGGTTTCTGATAAAGGTACTAATTCTGATGCTCCATCTGGGTGATGTAGAGCCAGCAGTGGTTTAATGGGAATTTGTCTCCAAGGGCTTAAAGGTAAACTTAACTGAGTAACAATTTTGTACTCATTATTTCTTATTATAACCGGTCACTCTGAGGCCTGGTCCACACGTAGCTGGGTTTTTTTTAAACAAATATCCGCCCCTCCAAAAACTTGCATTCACATTACCTCGTTAAAAAAAAAACTCTGTCCACATGTACCACGTTGTTAAGGACATGCCAGACCTGTAGGTGGCAGTACTTGGAGAAGCCAGGTGCCGGGCAATAGCCGTTCTTAACCTCGTCCTTCGTCTGTGGTCTTCCACAAGGAGCAGTAATTCCGCTTGCAAAAACAAACAAGCAAAAAGTGCTTGGACAATTGATAAAGCGAGCGCAGCTCTGAGGGCATCCATGCTGTCGGCTAGTGTAAACACAGGTCGCACACGTGATGTCAGCATTTTTTGTCGCGGAAAGTGACGTTGCGGACCTTAAAACTCCGGTTTTGTCTGTCCACACGCAGACACCCAAAACGGAGAAAACGCAGATCTTCACTTTGGCCGGAGTTTTTAAAAAGATCCGTTTTCATGTGAAAAAACTTCGTTTTCGTGTGGATGACAGGCCAAAACGTAGAAAAATATCTATGTTTTGGCAGATCCCCGGCTACGTGTGGACAGGGCCTAAGTTTTCCATGCAGGCTGAACATAAAATAGTCTCCTACACCTATCTCCTGCATTAGCTTCTGATAGAAAACAGACGGTGTGTCATGGTCAGAGGCAATAAGACGCAGCGTTCTCAAGCACAACCCGCTTTTATTGTCTTGCAGCAAC